AAAACATGTGTATCTTTTTCCGGTTTAAGAGGATTAAAACATTTGAAAGAGGGAAAAAGCTTCGTACCCTGTGCAGCTTGAAGAAACGCTCCACCTCTTCGCTCTCTCCTCCGGCACAGCTCACCAGCAGGTGGCGGAGCTGGTCTACCGGCCGCAGTTTTTGGAAGATATGACTCCCCTGCAAGGACGGCAAGAAGTCTACACTTAGTATACAGAATTTAAAAAATGTTTGGTTGACAAGATTGATTGTGTGTGCAATAATGAGAGTGAAAACAGTTTTGACCTTTGCAGAGAGAAGGACAAACTTCTGTGGAGGAATGTTGTGCTGCTGGACGACCACAGGGGAATCAGTGATGGGGATCAGTGCTGTGTTCAGAGGAGAAGATATCTTGGATGGTCTCTCCTCATTAATGGCACAAAGAGCCCAAGAGTGTCCATCGACATTAGACATCATCTGCAATAGAAGGCAGAAGAAAAAGAGGCATCATTTAAGGTTTCTTTCAGTGTAGCCTGGCTTTTAGGTAGTAAAGCACTCTTTATCTAAAAAAAAAAAAAGGTTCATTATTTCTGACCGAGAAGTAAGTATAGATAGCAGTAGAAGTAGTAGTAACAGCACACCTTAACTGTCACCTCAACTTTGTTTTGTCTTGAGAGCCTACCTGAGTCTCCATCAAGGGTTTCTTGAAGGGGAAGGAGTCATGGTTGATGCACCAGAGGATGTCACTGTCTTCTGTCTCTGAAGCAGCCATTAACAGAATACCTGCAGGATTTAAACAAAGAAAAGACAAATGCTATAAACAGGCAGATCTGGATTATTCTTAATATTGGGGTTTGTTGAGTTTTGAGTGAGTTGGTCCTTGTGGGGAACTGAATAGCAGACAGAAGAGTTTTTACCTTTGCTGTGTAGTGCCTTATGGACCTTTGCAGGTTTTTGGAGGGTAGAAGATGCAGAAAACCCGGGCGGCAGGCGGACGTGGACCAAAGCCAGCAGGCTAGGTCGCACTGCCAGGTGCCTCTGGTGTGGGAGGGAGAAAGGTGTAGTGCTGAAGTAGAGACGCACACCTAGAGAAAGGGATATGGCGCACACAAAGTATAAACATTTCATATTATTCAACACGTGTCCTACTGTTTTTGCTACTTTTCGTTACTGCTCTGATGTCTTTACCTGCATGAGTGACAGCAAGCAGGTGACAGTCTGACGACTCAGATCTGTCAATCACAGAGATCTGGACGATAGGTTTGAAGACTGAACGATCTATTGTCCTGCAAAAGAAGGAGAGTTAAAGAGACGGAAAATGATATATTATCCAGATGACAGATGTGAAACAAACACGTTTAAGGATCGACAAACCCGGACATACCTGGCAATGTTTCCAGCAACAGCAACAATTGTGTTCTGAGACATGGTTGCCACACGACTCATGCCCTGTCCGTCAGCACCCAGGTCATACACCTAAAACACAGACAAGTTCATATTACGTTTTGGACCTTGATAAGTTTCTTAATTTATCCGAAACAGCAACACTTTAAAATGTGATTTCACAAAGCGCCATACCTGCAGGACACCTTTCTCTGAGCGTGTGAAAAGTGTGTTGCGGGAGTTGTCAATCGCAATCTGCACGATGGGGTCTGCGGAGGACAAGGACATCAAAAGGTTACATTTCATTTTAATTAAATCAAGGACGTTTTTTCCACATGGATTTCAGTCCCTCTCCTCACCGTCTTCAGAGAAGGAGAACTGGAGCACAGAGGGCACGAGGAAGGACAGAGAGCTTTTGGAGTGGTTGATTTTTCTGCAGCGCTGGCTCAGCCATCCCGCCTCGGCCTGGTAAGCGATCTCATAAAGGCAGCCGTCCTTTCCTGCCATAAAGATGCGTCCCAGGTCTGTGGAGGTGATGGAAATGATGTAGGTGTTGTCTGTGGGGATTGAGAAGAGGGGGTCTGGAAGGAGCTGCATCGCACCAGACATGCTGTCATTCAACCCTACGACAAAACAAAGAGAAAGGTCAGAAACAGTCAAATATGTGGACCAGTGTTACTCCAAGCCCACAATTAACTGTCACATTGGAGTAAGGAAACCAAACACTATTCACAGTAAGCTGGAAACACAACATTCAAAGGAGGACTCACCAGCCTGGCTCTTGGGGAAGCTCAGCCCGAGGATCACTACATCCACTGAGGTGGCCAGTACTAAGAGGTAGTGGATATGTGGCTGTAAAATCCCTGAGAAGGAAAACACAACACGTACACATTACTCAAATTAAAGTGCTTCAATAAAAATATAAATTAATAATGAATGCTGAGTTGACACATACCTTGTTTTGGTTTTACAAGGCCCACTGCCAGAATTGTTTCAATAAGGCCATCAAAATAGGCCACATCTCCTCTACAAAGAATAAAGTGGAAAAAAGCAATTAATTTAAAAGCACTGCGTGTGAACTTCAGCTGGTTTCATGTACTGCTTTATGATCCTCATAAAGTAAATGTACTCACCCATCTTCATAATTCCACATAAAGATGTCATTGTCAATAGTAAGCCATGCTCGAGAGATCTCTGGGAAAACTCCCATCATGCAGTTACATTGCATATCTGTGAAATTGTTAAGTTGAAACTCAAATACAACACAAAACAAAAAAGGGATCAACTAAACTGTGTGCTATGTGCTTGATAGAAACCTCCTGGTCCAGTGAATTTGAAATGATTTTATTTCCTGAATGATAAAAAGGATACGGCTGAACTGCTCCACCAGCTCTGGCGGCAGAGGGACCCGGCGGACTGCACTGAGCTCCGGGAGGTTTGGCACACTGAGTAAACCCGGTCCCTGCAGGGGGTAGTCCATGTCCGACACTCCAGAGAGGGACGGCATATCTATAAACACATGCAATACCAGCAGATCAAGCACTGTCCCAGACATTGGATCCCAATCATAATATATATCAGTTATATACAAACATAATCAATCATAGTGTTAGAAAGTCAGCAGAAAGTATTTTGGCGTATTCAACCAGTTGATGGTTCCACTCTTTTAGCTGGCCTATTTTCGTCCCTGTTAACATGGGTGCCAGAAAACTTGTATGTTCAAGAGCTTAACAGATTCTGACAGAAACAGGTTCAAACAGTAAACACATTATTTCTGTAAATAAATCTAGTTAGGGTGTGATCTCTCTTCTTATATATACAGTGGAATGGAAAACTAATGTCATATATCAGTGTCTTGTTGGTAGTTAATGTGGAAAGAGTTGCAAAAGGTCTTCTCTAAGCATGATCAATGTTTTGTCTCAGAATGACTGCTTTCTCTTTTGATGGATTACAATAACATGATAAAGCTACCTTTATTCGTCATCATATTCAATTACACAGGATCATTCCTCGAACATTTATCTGCCTAAAAACAATCTTTATAAGCACCAACACCAAACCAACATGTGTACTGTGGCATGGCAGCCCAAGTGTCAACAGAACCACATAAGTTTGATAGCTACACCAAGGTCTCTGTGATCCATCCCTTCAAAGGACTCACTGTGACATGGGACGCTGAGCAGCTCCGACAGGTCAGGGAAGCATCGGTCCTCCTGCAGATGTTTGTCGATCAGCCGGGAAGAGTTTTCCAGCGCTTCAGCGAGTGCAGCTGCGGGGCTGCTGGGTCCAGCGCCGGACGGCATGGCTGAGCTACCTCCGCTAACTTACCTACAGAACCGTTCAATGAGAGTTAACGATAGTGTCAGCAAAGGTTGCCAGGTTTTAAATGTAAATAATAAAAGAGATATCCTGCCAACTTCACTACAAATCAAACGTTCTGTCTGGTGCTAGCTGATGTTAGCATGCTGATGGAAGACCACCGGTTAGTTAGCCCACTGCTAGCAGTAACGTCTTATTATTTAGCTTGCAAGCTAAATGCTAGCTAAGTGTAAATTAAGTGTTTTAAAGTGAACTCGTTGCTTTACCCGACTGAAAATATTCCGCGTAGTAATGGGTTATTTGGCAAATAAGTTGTGTTCGCCAATGGAGCAGCAGAATTTAAACAAATACATATAACTAGCAGCCCGCCAACCTCATGCACACACAGCGGCAGAGGTGAAAGGTTTTTTTCCGGTGGACCAAATTCTTCTTCGTCTCCCTAATTTTCGCAGACTGGGACAAGTAAAACGTTATGCTGCCACCCAGCGGTCAATGTTATTTTATCTGTAATTCGCAGCACAAAGCATGTAAATAATCCTGTAAAAATGATATGTGAATAATTTAATTCAACTCAACCGATTGCCTTAGTATTCAAAGAAGAGGTATTAAACACCTAATTGCTTTTTAATTTTTCTTTTATAGAATGTGTTTGTTTTCTATTCATAACAAATATTGCAAGTGTTTATTTTATTTCAGCATCAAAATAAAGAAAATCTGATTCCCTTGACATGATTTATAATCACTTTGTAGCACTTTGAAATGTTACAGTAAATGTACATTTTAGGTTTCCATCGTTTTGATACTATGAAGAACTTCCTGTGTTTCTCTGTTCTCCAAAAAGCAAGTGGCTTCATAGCAATCATAAATTAAAGCATAAAGAGAGGAAAAATAAGAAGAAAAGGGGCATTCTTGTTCAATTCAAATCATCTGCTTGATCAAACGTTTTTTTACCAGAATGCAAATAATCCTAAAGAGAAAAAGTAATTGTGCACAGTACATCAACCACTAGTGTGGAGTAACGTCCAACTGATTTTTATAAAATGACCTTCCAGTCTTAATCAAGGCAAGATGAGCTGTTATGGCAAACATTGCTCAATGATTAGAGAATTAAATAACCCTTTAGGACGCTCTGTTATGATTTCTTTAGATAGAGCTGTTTGCCGTCCAATTTGATCTGTAAAAAACCCTCCAAGTCTTACTTCACTATTCTTAATCTCCATCAGACAGGTGAGGGAATTCAGCCAGACAATACGAGGCATTCGTTTTTGAAAATGACACAATAAATATTTTTAAGTGAGGAAAAAAAACGCAAACAAGTAACAAAGACGTAAGAAAAATTTATTGCAGTATTTGTTTCACCAGAAGAGCGGGGGATAACTTTTTTCTTGCTGTGTTCTATAACATCAAAATCTATATTAAAAACAATATAACTTCCCCTGCATATAGGCACAGATACTGCACTGCTCTTAACATAAATAAAACATATCAAAGATACTCCATTACACAGTGTAGGTAAACAACAAAGTGTTCGAAACAAGAAAAAAAAAGAAAGCTAAAAGTTCTTGGAGCTCAGGTCAAGTGAATAAATTCATCTGGTGCTAGTTTAAACTCCAAAAACACTTTATTAAGAACATCATCATAACACTAATTTCCAACATTCAGTTTACTTTTTTACAGAATTATGTTCAGATATAAACATGTGTTTAGTTAAACTATTATACAGTGGGAGTAAAAATCAAACAACGAAGTTGCTGCACAACAGCGAAGGAACTCCCACACAATGTTTTCCCAAACATTTCCTTCTTATGTTTTTCTTGTGTTTAACTTAAACATGTCTGTATTTAAACAGATCATAGTTCACAATACTTTTCCTCCTTCTGGTCCTTAAATCTAAAGAGGTTTGATTTCCTCTGTGTAACATACTGGGTCCGCACAGGTTTGGGGTGTGGGAGGAGGTTCGCAGTGACTCTTAGTCCCCGTCCTTGGCAGCGTATAGATCCCGTAACGTCTGTGCCACTTTGTTCGACAGCTTTTGTCCACTTGCGAAGGATATTTTCTTGTAAATGATGTCTGATTCTTTGATGGTGTCAACCCAAGGCACCTTTTTGCGACCTTCCCGTTTCTTTACCTCCGCCCAGGACCCAGAGTAAGAACCAGTCATCCAGTGTATGCTGTAGCCAGTTTTGATCCTCTGGATGACCCTGGCGATCTGTGGTCTGTCTTTGAATTTGGGACAGCAGAGGGCAATGATGTCCATGGCCTTTACTCTCTCCTGCAAGTTGCCTGTGTCTTCTGGGGTCTCCACGGCTTTCTTCGGTTTGCGCTGTTGATAGAAGAAGCAGAGGGTGTCCCACATGAAAACAACTTTATTACACAGGAGGCACCACATACACATCTCACAGAATTGTTGGGATAACCAACCTTTTGCACCTTTTGCATATTATGTATTTTGTTTTTGCTATGTTTGTCAAATGTAAACTTCTTAAATGTTTTATGTGAGGGACTGCGGATGGAAATGAGCTCAAAGCTAAATCTGGCACTGTTACGCTTGACACATTTGAATGTTTTAAGTGTTCATTACTGTGCATTGTCCCTGCCAAATAAACGATTAAATTAAATAAATAAATAATGTGTGAAGCTGCAGTAAAACGGCTATCAAAGTTGAGTTTCTGTTTACAACAATGAAGATAATCCAAAGAATGTTAAGATGTTGGTGTAGGTCATGGACATTACATATATCATGTCAAATTGACATTCTGTATGGGTAATATATCCTGTATTTAATCATGATAAAACATTTTCTCTTTTATTTCTTATTAACCTTCCTCAACCCTTCTGGTTTGTAACTTCAATTTGATATCCAGCTCACTATTGCCCACGTTGATGCAGTCTTATTACAGGAACATAGAAATCCTATGCGGGTTCTTTATTTTAAAATGTTTTAAAATTCCTACCGCAGGGGGCTCTTCAGCTTCACTCTCCTCCTCCTCTGACTCCACTGGAGCAGTGTGGTTATTGTGGTTGTGGTTCACTGGTTTTGGGCCCTTCAGCAGTGAAGTAATGGCTTTGTTTCTGGCGTTTGCATTCGCTTCACCCTCTTGGTCCTCTTCGTCACGATCCAAGTGCTCCATCAGTACCTTGAACTAAGAGATAAAAGCAGATATAATATGAGTCATACTCCTGAGACTGAAACATGAATACACATTCACTTTGAACATAGTGCTGAATGCTTACATCCAAATACTGTTTAACAATATTCCTCTTGGTCTCGTGGCTGAGCTCCGTGTTGGCCAGATCACTCTTCAGGTAGAGCAGTGTCTGACCGGGGTTAAAGTGCACCTTAGACTTCCTGTTCACTGCCTTGTCGTACACTTTGGCAGACTCTGTCGGGGAATACTTCTGGATTTTGCTGAAACGCAAACAGAAAACTAGTTTAGTCTGAGTCATATTATCAATTGCATTACTTTGTTAAATATAGATTGGCTAAACTGTCCATTTCTGATGTGGCCCACCTGTCTGTTAAACCGAACAGATTCTTCAGGTGTTGTTTGAGCATCAGCAGCAGCAGGATGCCCTGTGAGGAGCTGGAAAACTCCAGAAGAGGGTTGGAGTTTTCGGGCAGACGGGACATCACTGCGTCCTCATCTTCAAAGTCAGAATCATGATCCACAGGTTTCTTCGCCCTGTGCACCACCTCCTCTTCCTCCTCACTGCTGCTGCTGGAGGAGCTACTGCTCTGCTCCTCGTCCTCCTCTTCATCGTCCTCATCCGAGCCCAGTTGTCTCTTATGATGCTTCTTCTTCTTCTTTTTCTTCTTCTTCTTCTTTTTTGCCTTCATCTCCTCTTCCTGATTGACAGGCTCTTTCCGTAAAGACTGCACAGAGAACCAAACATATACCAATCATTCAGAAGATTTATTACCCGAGCTTTTATTTTCATCTCACCAAAAAGAGCAATATTTCCCATCCAAAGTAAAAAACCAAGCTTTGCACCTCCTTGAAGGACTGGAGCAGGTTGCTGCCAGAGACTGACAGCGTGATGTCTACATGGTGCATGATGAACAGAGGCTCCTCCTGGGTCTGGTAGGGGAAGCAGGCTAAGTTGTCTGCTACGAACAGCAGCATGTTCACCTCTGTTTTCTGCAGGAGACAAAAGGTAGAAAATCACTACCTAAATCAGGGGTGTCAAACTCAAGGCCCGGGGGCCAAATCCGGCCCGTGACTTCATGTGAAGTGGCCCCACAAGAGCTTGCAAAGAATATAATATGTTTATTATAAGGTTACATGACGGTTTACAGAAGCACGTTGCCCATAAACTACATGTAGCACAAATGCCTCTCAAATTTGACTTGTTTCTCAGAATTTGACTTTCTTGCTTCAAAATATTCATTTTTTCTTAGAATTTGCCTTTTTCTCAGAATCTGACTTTTTTTTCAAAATGTCATTTCTTTTTTTTCATTTTGACTTTTTTTCCAGAATTTGGCTTTTCTTTTTAAATCATTTTGTGACATTCTCACTGAAAAGACTTATTAAGTTATCCGATAATAATCCAATGCAGAGGCAATAATGTAATAACACATTATTTTACATATATTACATTTTTATACATGTATTTTTTATAGTCTTGTCTATAAAACTGGCCCTTTGAGTGCAACCATGATGCTAATGTGGCCCGAGATGAAATTGAGTTTGACACCCCTGACCTAAATGAACTATTAGCAGTAAAGCTTGGATACTGCCTGGTTGGAGATGCACTGAAGGTGACTTACTGAGCTGTCATCAAACAGGTTGAGCAGAGAAATGAGGAAAGCCCGTCTGTGCTGTCGGTTCCCTCGCACCATAGAGTAGAGATGAGCGCAGAGAGCAGTGTCTGTCTCATCCGGACGAAAACCTCGAAGCAGTGGGCTTTTGGCTCCGTTTATGGCCTGTTGCACCTGATAAGACATCTTCAACCCTGCTACGGCCTTCATCTGTGGATTCACAAATAAACACAACTCAGCATGTCTGTAGATAATAGATAATGATCCAAATCCTTCCGATGCCTATCACAAAATCCATTATGAGATGTGTACGTTTACAGAAATGCAAACACTTTTTTTACATCTAGTTTGCTGTTAATAAACGAGCAAGTCACTCACGTGGATGAAGCCTATATATTTCTTGTCAATCTCCACCAGCTGTTGATCGGCTTTGTTCTTCATGGTTGGCTCCGGGTCGGTTCCCATGGCAATCAAGTATGGCACACACTAAAAAAAAAGATTTCAAATCAGTGATCAGCTCATCAGTCATTCAAGACGGGAAGAGAATGTTGTCATTGGGGTGGAACAACATGGAAAACAGTAGAATACACTCGCTCATGTGACCATTTCAATTGTAAAAAACCTTCCAACACAGTAAAATATTGTAAATTGGTTAAAATGTGACTAATCATCAACCTAGTTATGACTGCGAGACAAAAAAACAGTTCTTGCTTGTAAGATCTTAATCTCAGTCTTGAGTGCTGGAGTGAGACTGTGAGCATACCTGCACAGGATGGATGAGGCCCTGGCTGAGAGTCAGAAGGATGACGCTCAGGGCGAAGTGGCGAACAGTGGACTGAGAGTGGAAGAAGGACTCCAGCACCTGCTTCAGGTAGATCTGCATTATGGAGCTGCTCATGCCTGATGAGATGTCTCCCATTTCCTTCAGATCCTCCTGCTTTTCCTGATTCTTCCCTGAATTAAAAAAAAAAGCATCAGCTTGGTTCAGTGGTGGCGCTAGACCTTTTCACTGCCTGTCATTTTGACGGACAGGATCGTACATTTTCCGTCATAATCCATTATTACCCGTCGGGTCTGTACACAACTCGGACTGGGGGGGGGGCTTGGTGCAGAGAACTGTTAGCGTCGGTGTTATGCCGTGTTATGCATGCCCACCGAAATATGCATGCACAGCGTAAAGCGAAAACTCACAGACATTTCAATGATTTGTACGGCAAATGTTTCCGTCATTGTTAAAAAAAAATCGTCATAGAAGGAAAATATTCGGTTAACGCGACCACTGGCTTTGTCTTCGAAGGTGCTACATGTTTGACATGCTGACATAGAACATACAAGCAGGGCATTTAAATAGGAACATTCATTTTGATTAGCCATGCAAACAGATTAGTAGGGATTTTGTCTGTCTTCACAATAAGGCCAAAATGGGAATATTTCATTAAACTCACATTCACGATCGGCCACCTGCATTCGAGAGTCCTCCTCTTGCAGGTATATCTGCAGGTTTTTTAGCACCTGGATCCTCCGATTGACCGAAGGGTTATCCTCTGACAGGGTGTTGTTATACAGGACCTTCACATCCTGAACAAACATGAGCTCTGGATGCATGATGAACTGGAAGCCTAGAGAGAATGGAAATCATTTAAATAAATATAGAGGGAACCCAAAGACATATGCAAATAAAAACAAGAAATGACAGTGATCTATGTTACTATGAGATAAGGAGCAACTTACCTAGACCTATGATGGCCTTGATCTGGACCTCTTCATCTTCATGAGTGGTGAAGTACAACAGAAGCTCCAACACTTTCTCCTTGATGACGATCTGAGTGAAAGCAGTCATTTATGAGTCAGGTTCAACAGAAGTCAGGCACATTATTCAAATAGTTTGAGTGCTGCTGTTTACCTTGCTAGTGCCCTTGAACTCCTCTTGATCGTAATCAAAGTGTCGGCAGAGAGCCCCCACAGTGAAGAGTGAGCGCAGGAGAGTAGGTTTGTTGGTAGCCAGGGTGACGCTGGTGGGGTCCTCTTGGTGCTGGGTCTTCAGTTTTGCAAGAGCTCCTATAGAAAGATACAAATCGGCATTGAGTCCAACTTATGTTTCTCTGGTTTATAGAAATAACTTTTGGTGTGTTTAATGCTCTTATTTATATCCATGTGAAATGAGAAAGTGAGTATAATGAGGTGATATGAGCATAATGTAACCCTGTAAATTTGAAAGTGAATTATCATGTTAACAATAATAATCCCTACGTATATTTTGCGATGTTTTTGTGTATTCTCAAATTTCTTTCCAGCCTTTCCCATCAAGCTGAATGCTGATTCTGGTATGAGAACATGTGTGTTGTTTATGTTATAATTGATGTTTACAGAAGCCTTACCATAGTAGCGATTGAAACACGCCCAGACGAACTTGTAGTTGTGTGTGACCTTGTTCACAACAGCACCAAGACAGCTGACACAGTGTTGTACGACCTGAGGAACAAACACAACAAATGGAATCAAATTAAAATCAGTGCCCTCAGAGCAGTATCACATCTCAATTTGTTATGTTTTCTTGGGATATATCTGTGAAAGCTGTAAATCACACTGACCGTCATGCCATATTTGATAATGAGCTTCATCAAGTCTTCTTCTATGGTGGTGAGGAAAGTCTCACTTGGTTGCTCCATCAGAGGCACGGCCAGCTCCAGGATCTTTGCCACGTTACAGATCACCATGAAGTCGTTCTGAGTCTGGAATATAAATGCAGAGACAGCTGCTCAGTCCAAAGCTGAGCTGGGAAATAACTTTGGAAAAACAAGTAATTGCTTTAGACTCCTCCTCTCAGCTCAAAAGCGTGTTTTCTTTAATGAATTCAACACTGTATAGTTTATCCTACAATATAAAGCTTAATTAAACAATGTACAGCATTAGTATTAGCATTTGAGTATAACGCATTTAGTATTTGAGTGATGGGATGTCTTTATTACACAGGTGTGCCCCATTATATATGGCAATTGATTGTAAGCAATTGATTTCACACACATTACAGCAAATGTGGGTACAACCAGCACAGCCCCTAGTTGACCCCCCCCCCCCCCCCACACACACACACCACAACACAGACTTCACCCCTTGCTGCTAAATACCAACAAACTATGTGCAATATGTGCAATATATAAATTCCGTTAATAACTGTGTAATATATACCTGGCTGCTAAATCCTAAGAACTGTTACAAGGTGTGTATTTTGTATTTTGTAAATTGTGTAACTTGTTGCTGTTAAATACCAACCACCTATGTGCAATATGTGCTAGATGTGCAATATATATATATGCCGTTAATAACTGGGTAATATATACACCTGGCTGCTAAATCCTAAGAACTGTTACAGGATGTGTATATTTTTTTTAATTATGTAACTTTTTATTTTTTTATTATATATTTTTTATAATATCATAACCTAGTACTTTTTTTTAAATGCATGTCACATATTTAACATATGTAACATTAAGCTGTCTGTGGCACTTTTTCCTGCTGTAACTACCAAATGTCCCCTCCGTGGGACTAATAAAGGTATTCTGATTCAGAGAAGGACTGCGTTCATTCCATTTGGCTGCCACTAGATGGCCCTATAGCACAACATAAGAGTTGGTATTGTTCCTATCTGTCCTTAGAGCAACAAATGATATCTCTTACTTTTAGAAAAGTCAGAATTTTAGACTGAAACTTAACCAATGATGATACTTACATTGCTCTTGGAGGTCAGGTAGGGCTGCATAGTCATGGCGTGTTTGACCATCAGCTGTGCTCTGATCTTGCAGAACAGGTATAGAGTGGTGATGCATGATACCAGACGACCTGAGGTGACCCCTTTGTCTTCACAGTCTGAATGGCAAACACAAAGAGCATTGAGATGTGTCAAAGCAAAGGAATGTCTAACACAACAACAACGCAATACTCATTTTGTAAACTGGTGTTTTTTTCATTACCTGCAAGAGTGTCTTCATATGTCAGGATGTGTTCCACTAGATTATCCACCAGCTGAACACAGGCCTTCTTGGCAGGTTTGTACGACGCTTGTTCTTCAGACTTGAGCAGCTAAACAGATTTAATACAGAAGTTGGATACAGTAAGAGGCCCGAAAAAACAGCTGTCATAAAGAGAAAGAGCATGATGTTGAGATACCACTACGACCACACAGGTCAGCAACTCACATTTTGGAGAAGCTGCTCAAACCAGTCGTAGCCTGAATCTTTGCATGCAGACACCTGGCATGAAATTAAAGCAGGACATGAGTCAGGAAATAAAAAAGTTAAACAGCACAATGTTTCTTATCAGGTAGCCAAGGTAATACGCACCACGTCTGTGATGTTCAGGATCTTCCGGGTCATTGCATTTTTGTCATGACTGGGTGTGGGGGTGAACCAGATTTTCTGGAATGTCTCATTCACCAGTTTCTGCATATGAAAAGAAATGTTAGTATATAAGATTAAAAAAACACATCATGTAAGCATAATTCAGATTGTAACAAACACTAACCTTGATCCCCTCCTCATCGTTGACCCTTCGGATCATCCTCACACACATCTCGGTCACCTTGTGGAAGTCCGGCTGCTCCAGGCAAATATCTCTCAAGATCTTGATGACCCTCTTCCTGACACTAATACCTGTGTCCTGTGTGAACATGGGTTAAAGGGAAGGTCAGTATAGTCAAGAAGAAATATCTTTCTCGATTGCATATTCAAACTGCTAAATTGTTGTAGTTCTACATTTGATCTTTAGGGGGCAGTGTGGGAGAATATGATTTAACCTCAGTTGAACTTTGGCACTTTAAATGAACCTTTTGGTCAGAATTTGCTTAAGTAAATGGGAAGGTTCCATTTCAGTTTGACCAATGTAAGCCATGGCCTCTTCCACAAACCCTTAAGAGGGCAATGATGTGACCCGATCTTTTTAAACTGGGAAGGAGTTGATTCATTTGTGCATAATACAGAAGCTCTCATTGAGCTGTTCAAAATGTAAAGAGAGAAGCTAAAGAAATTACCAATATCCTTTCAATGAGCATGTCGTAGTACTGCTCAATGAGCTCCGGTCGACTTAGCACAAAACGGCCAAGCAGCTCCACGGCCGCCTCTCGCACACTGGTAGAGTTATCCATGAGGCGACAGTGAACCCCGCGCTGCATGTCCAACTGCAAAACAAAAACGTAAAGAGAAGTCAAGCAAAGAAACAAATCAATGAACGTTATGACTGCTGGTTAGAATGTAGCAACATTACAACCAGGCTTTAACAGAATCTCCTGTTGAATTTGTTGGATTCACAGTAAAGAAAGGTTTTTATCTGTCAAATAAAAAAACATTTAGCGCTACCTCTATTTAATTTAATTAGTATTTGTTCCGTTCATGGTATGCACAACTTAATGGTGGGGTAGGTAAGTTTGAGAAACCGGCTCGAGATACACTTTTTGTTATATTCCATGGAATGCTCTTAACATCCCGATAGCAATGAATATCTTAAGTGCTTTGACAAAAAATCCATAAAAAAATATCATCTGTGGAAGCTGTAGTACTGTAAAAAGCACGACCAATCATTTTAGCCGGCCTGGATGGCCTACCTGCCTGTCAGCCTTCCATCGGGGCACAAACTTATCTCGTGCCCTCATTGGTAATGTGCGCGTTCGTGTGTGTTGGAGGAGGGGCTCTGTCAGGAAGTGGCAGATTTTCTCCGGTTGTATATTTTCAAATTCCAGCGATCTCGAGCCGGTTTCTCAAACGTACCTATCCCACCTTTAATGTCTAATAATTGTTTACAAAACATGTCTCTATTAACACACCATTGACCGAAAAGGAGCAGGGAGAAGAAAATAATCTTATGTTACCTGCCCCATTCTAAAAAATAAAAAATAAAAAAATGGAAATAGATGGTCTGTCCTTCATATTTTCTTATTCACACAGTATCATAGGATAATAAGAGAAACACGAAAACGTACACAAAAAATACTTAGTTCCCACTTGACAGTTAACGGAAAGAAACAAAACAAAAAACAACAACACCGAAACATTACATTACATGTCATTTGTTAGACGCTTTTATCCAAAGCGACTGACATACTCAGTACTGTGGACAATCCCCACAGGAGCAATTTGAGGTGAAGTGTCTTGCCCAGGGACACAACGACATGCTGACTGCAGTGGGACGCAAACTTGCTATACCCTGATTCGAAGTCCAGCACACTATCCACTGAGCCACAGCCACCCACATCACATGTACAAAGAAAAAGTGCAACACCCTCATCTGGGTCCTATCAATCCAGTAATATGAGAATCATGTAGCAACAATACAGGATGACTTACCCGTGCCAGGATACTTGGATCCACAGCTACTACTTCAGACAGACACTTCATGGCTTTAGTTCTGACTGCGATGGCACTCTCACCAAGCACCCTCAGAATCTAATACAAAAGATTTTTTTTAAAGTTAGAGACTGGCAACACAACAAAGTCTCTCACTGACGTTTATTTGCAATGAATCCTCTCACCTGTGATAAATAAATATCAAAGCTCTGTGCAAACGGCCTCATGGAGGCCAGATATCTGACAATCAGACATGAGTCCTCATACTCTACCGTGTCAGAGTTTACCCTGAAAGAAACATCAAGAGGACAGTCAAAACACAGGATTGGAGATAAGGTCAAACAGCGTAACAAATCAGGGCATTGATGCAGAGTACAGTAGTATTTACCTCAGAGAGTTGAAATCTGACGGTGATGTCCTGATGACTTTGCGGAGGAATTTCTTTCGTGACTCGGATTTCTGCATAATCTCCTCAGTTGAGTCAACTTCCATGGAATGATGAAGGCCTTTCACTTCCTCGTCGTCATTTTGAGACTTTATCGCTTTCTCGGCCTCAGTCGTAGCGTCCCTGAACCACTGGGCAATGTAAAACTTCCTGGCAAACTATATGAAACAAATGAATATATAAGTAATTAAGAAGACTATAAAGTAATCTGACATCAAGGAACCCTGTCTAACTATATAAACAGTCCATGTGTTTAACCACTGCCTAGTATCCATTCATAATAAAATCCTAAATGTGCCCATAATGATTTCTGTATATTCACAGTTTAGTGGGTGAATATTAAACACTTACCACTAGAGAGGGTTCTGTCTCAATGTTTTCATTAAGGTAGTACAGCAAGGCCTTCTGGAGTTGCTGGATCTCATCACTGCCTTGAGTCTGTAAGGAAATCAATAAACCAGAAGCGGCTCAGAAGCAGTTCAACACCACTATTAATGTAGCTCCGTGAAAGTAATTGTGTAATCATCTAGTCTACCTCTTTGAGGATGCGGTCAATAGTCTTTTGGTCCATGTTGCTATTGACAGCATCTTTACGCAGGCGAGATGCCACGGTGCCGAGGTAGTCGAGCGACGCCACCCTGAGCGCCATTTCTGTCTGCTTGTTGCTGAACTGGTGCACCTGGAGCACGAGAAGTGGAGGGGAAATGTCAAAAAAGGAATCAGCAGCTGTTTCTACCGAGCAGATGATAGGGGGTGATTCCTTTAAAGTGATTGATGTTACTCACCAGCAGCCGGCCCAGTAAGCTGAGCAGCAGTTCAGCTACAGGCCACTCAGGCCTGTTGACTGCAGACAGCAGGTCATGAACAAAGTTCTCAAACAAAGGCCTGTAGTCCTCCTCTCCCTGCTTACTGCCACACCTGAAACACACACACAATACAATATATTTCATTTCATTTTCATTTCATCGTTTATTTGAAGAGGGACAATGCACATTGATGAACATTTTTAACAATTAATGCTTCAAAATGTAAATATGCCGGATTTGAGCTTTTAGCTAATTTCCATCTGTAGTCCCTCACATACAACATTTAAGAACATGACATTTGTATACATAGCAAAAATAAATACATGATATGCAGAAAGAGCATGAGCAGCAAACAAGCATTAACCACATGGCAGTACAATGTAGCAGCTACGACATATAAAGTGCAAGAGAAGATAAAAGAGCTACATAAAGTGCAAGAGGAGATACCCCTGTGTTAAAGTGCATTTAGCGGTGATTGCACGTTTGTTTGTTTGTTTCTCAACCATTCTTTGAGTTGACCTTTGAAGCTATTGAGAGTGGGACAATCCCGTATCTCAGTTGGGAGGCTATTCCACAAAGAGCTGCCTTTAACGGAGAGGACATTTTGACTGAAAGTGGTCCGTCTACGCTGGACTTCACAGTCTCCTCTGGTTTCTGACCTAGTGCAGCGTCCAGTGTGTTTTCTGTGGATGAATTCGCCTAAGGGAGGGGGGGGGGGCCAGTCCATGTAAACATTTATAAAAAAAAACACATACTTTTAAAAAACTTAACATTTTCAAAACTCAAGAAATTGTGTTTTTCAAGGATGGTACAGCGGTGGTATGAATTAGGCTTTCTGTCAAAAACCTTGATAGCTCTCTTGTAAAGTTGTTCTATTGGTTTAAGGTGTGTGGCACAAGCAAACGACCAGTTTGTAAAACAGTATTCAATATGGGATAGAATCATACAGTGGAGGTATGACTTTGCAGCATTGACAGTTAAAGGTGGGGTAGGTAAGTTTGAGAAACCGGCTCGAGATACACTTTTTGTTATATTCCATGGAATGCTCTTAACATCCCGATAGCAATGAATATCTTAAGTGCTTTGACAAAAAATCCATACAAAAATGTCATCTGTGGAAGTCGTAGTACTGTAAAAAGCACGACCAATCATTTTAGCCGGCCCGGCTAAAATAACTGGATGGCCTACCTGCCTGTCAGCCTTCCATCTGTGCACAAACTTATCTCGTGCCCTCATTGGTCATGTGCGCGTTCGTGTGTGTTGGAGGAGGGGCTCTATAAGGAAGTGGCAGATTTTCTCCGGTTGTGTATTTTCACACTTCACCCCAAATTGCTCCTGTGGGGATTGCCCACAGTATTGAGTATGTAAGTCGCTTTGGATAAAAGCGTCTAACAAGTAACATGTAATGTAAAAGATGAGATAATTTCAGTGTTTTTGCTATGTACAAAGATGACCGCATCATCGGCATACATTTGCACATTCAACTCAGGACATACATTAGGCAAGTCATTAATGTACAGAGAAAACAGTAATGGTCCAAGAATGGAACCTTGTGGAACCCCAACAGGGGTTGGCACCGTTGACCGAAACACACTGTTTTCTGTTCGATAAGTAAGACTTAAACCAATGTATCGAAACTGCCGAAAAATTGAAATTAGTCAGATTTGTAAGGAGCACTTGGTGGTCAACAGTGTCAAAAGCCTTCCTGAGATCAAGGAAGACAGCACCTACATATGGGCTCATGTCCAACATACATTTAACCTTTACCACAAAGACACAGTTAGCTGTCTCAGTGGAGTGGTGAGCACGAAAACCAAAGTGCATTGGGTGGAGTGGAGCGAAACCTTTGCCTAAATGTTTGGCGATTAGTTTTGACACCCATTTCTCAGCTATCTTAGCGACACATATCTGTATTTGTATATGTTTCTGAACAAAAGTTTATTTACAGAGTGTGAAAACGACTTACTTCTTGAGAAAAACTGATAGGAAGTTCTGAGCTGTCCGCATGGCAGTTTCAAAAGAGTTTGTGATGAAGACATCTTTATCCACCTAGAAAAAAGCATCCAATATGTTAAATCACTTCTGAATAAAAGCATCATTTCTGAAAAATATGGTTTTAGTATTTTCTAAATCTGCGGTGGTTACCTTCTTATTATGATCATCATCTCCGTCCTTCTCTGGAAAGTGAACCACACACTGGATGAGCTGAAGAACCAGTGCAGTGACCATCTGGATATACACATCTCCTCCTGAATCACTGTTTAGCCTGGGCGAGAAACAACTAGAGTTAGGTTTACAGAGAAACACAAAGCACTTCAATGATAACATTTTTGATTCATGTTATTTTAATGATATAATTCACTAAATATATAGTAACCTAAAGCTCCTGAGGCTGCGTTTATTCGTTGGCAGTCTAGCCAGGGAGGTGAATATCTCCTCAAGAATTAGCTGCCTGTGCTTCTCGTAGCGAGTGAACACCTGAGGAAGAGAAAAGCAAAGCAATGCATCAAAACATAAAATTGAAGACACTGTGTGGGTGTCATAAAACACAAAACTGACTGCTGAAATAAAACGAAAATGGATGCCATGGAGACTTACTGCTGTCACTAGTGTGATGGCGCATAACTGCAGATCACTGACATTCTCCACAAAGAAAGGTGTTATACCCAGAGTCGACACCTAAAAGTGGGAAACAAGAGAATCAGGTGTGTTAGAACTCAAAGGTTTAACAGGGTCATGAACTGAAATGATGACAGACAGATAAAGAGTCTCACCTGGAGAATGGTGGTGTCAGTGAGCAGCTGGATCTCCAGCAGCTCTGACATGTTGCTGACAATATCACACACTTTGTTGTAGAGCATGACCACCACCTTCTGTTTGTGGCTGGAACTCTTTCCTCTTTTGGACTTTGGAGTGTGCACAGCACCTTAGGTGAGGAAGACAAAGAAAAATCGGAGTTGAAAAAAGGGTTATATTGGAGCTTATATGAACACACGCACAAAAACACTCACAGATTTTGTAGAACTAAGAAGAAAAGTGTGCTGACCTCCATGGGGGTCCCCTCTGTAGGCGGGGTCATACTGAGGGTACAGAGAATTTTGCAGGTGGTACTTGGAGTACTGCAGCACCCTCTCAATCACGTCCTCTATGTAAACAACCTTGGGCATGCGTGGAGATGTCATGATGTTGAGAGCAGTCAGACAGGCATCAGCAGACTTAGCCACCCGCTCCATGATGAGGTCACGCCACAACCGCTCCTCGTCCAATGAATCATTATCCTACAGATACAAAAGAAAATCTTATTGAAAAGCTCAAAAGTTAAATCAAGTAAGCAACAAAAAAAAATGATAGGTGCCTGTAAACTTACATGGTTCATTAACGTGGTAAGTTTGACACTGTCCTGAATGTTCTTCTCCAGGATATTCAGAAATTTCACCAGTTTATCAGACGGAAACTAAGGAGCAAACAAATGATTACTTTCAATGAAACTCACAATAGCTAAATATCAACCGGTGTCACAAACACACTCCTCTTACCTTGTGAAAGATGCGCATAGCTTTGAGCTTAGTGGAATCACTGCAGAGCTCACTCAACTGGTGCTTTCCGAGCAACAGCTCTTCAGGTATGCCATCATCATCATCTGTTAGAGGGGGAACAAAGTTATAATAGTCAAAAAAATGTCTTAACAATTCATCAAATGTCATAAAAATATTGCAGCAGTAAATGTTCACCTGTAGCAGCGAGGTCCACATCCTCGAGGCTCTCAAGAATGCTGTCCACATTGGCCAGGAATCTCTTATATGAGGAGGAGTCCATCTTTTCTGTTAAAAGAAATGTAAACAAATTGATTAAAAAAACATATTTAGCTTTAAAATGCACCATTAGTATAATCGTAGTAATCAAAGTGGTAAAAGAATACCCTCTGTTGTCAGCTTGGAATCATACGCCTTCTTGTTTTTCTGTTTCTCCTTCTTCTTCAATTTTCTGGCAGCTGAACAAAAGGAAAACAACATTTGTCAAATCCTTGACAGCAGCAGCTCACCCTCGAGCTCTGAATATTTATTAGAGGAAGACTTGGTGCAGTAATCTGACTATCCAGGAGATTGGCCAGATGGATCATTGATTTCAGATGGCAATAATCTGAACGACAGCCGCCAGACACGGCAATCACGATTTGCATTGACCTACACAAGTTGTGTAAGGTAAATTCATTTTGTCTTCTTAGAGATACTTAACAAAAAAGGTGCGAGTGGAGCCTCGCAGATGGGGGGTGCTGCAGCCCCCTCAGCACCCCCCCCCTTCCCGCGTCCATTTGCGATGTCTCGCTGTCTCGCAGACCCCACGCAGCAAGCAGGAAATTAACCCAGCTCACACTGTCCGCTCCTCGCAGTGAGCCCCGCAAAGTCCCGCCAACACGGCACCCAGACCCCACGCAGCATTCTCATCTGTTTGTCATTACTGGTGTCATTTTCTGGTTGCTAACAAACGCCATTGTAACACATAATCACTGATGTTCCGCTGTAACGGTGGTGGACTCATCAGAACAGAGTGGGCGAGCCGACCAATCAGAGTACACTGGTCTCACAGGGAGGGGGGGGAGGGGGCAGGAGCTCCAACAAGCCGTTTAGGGCAGAGAGTGAATACACATACTATACAGAGATGCTGTATGAGAAACCAATGTGAGTTTGGAAAATTGCACAATATAAATCTATTCTAGTAGACCTCAACAATGGAATTATGATCAGTAGAAATGGCCATGACATGGGACCTTTAAGCTTGTGGAAAATAAACTCACAATCACTCAGGCTTGGAGTCGGGCTGCCTTCTTCTGATTCACTCAGTTCACGGCTGCGGCCACCGGACCCCCGACGGGCAGCGTGGGAACCGCTACTTCGCCGGTGCTCTCCAGAGCCCGCCCTCTTTTCAGACTTAGATGGTTTGTCGTGACTTTTCTTAGACCTTTTCTTTGGAGCTGTAACAAGAAAAACACAGAACCCAGGAAAGATAGGTCAGAAAATATCAAGTAATTTAAGCTCCAAGCTCCAATCGTTGCTCAATAGCTGCAATAATTCTAATCAAAACATATCCGCTTTTTTTTTTGGGTTAAATCGTAAAAACTAGGGTATTTGTAAACAATATTCTAGCATAAGAAGTGCTTTTTATTTTGTTATATATATATATATTTATATATATTTATTTTCTTCTCTTTATTTAGTATAAGAAGTGCTTTTTGACTTATTTTGTGGTGTGTACAAAAATTTAAAATTCTTAGGTTAAATACTAACACTCATTTTCAGAGTAATCTTCATCTTCTTCTTTGTCATCTTCTTCATCATCATCCGACTCAGCGTACTTGGATTTCTTACTGATCAGACTGTGATTCCGCTTGTTTGTCTTCTCAGCAGAAGACATTTCTGTAAAAACAAGAGATGAGTTAGTTTCCTGCACAGACACATCTGTACTTTAAAAGAAAATACAATCAGTTACTGAGTCATTAAAGACTGTGATAATAATAATGATAGTGGTGTGAAGGAAATACACAATCTGGAAACTGGGCCCATTGTACATATTTCAAAGTAAATCGTACCTTTCCCTGAGGTCTTGGATTTGTGTGAATTCCTGCTTTCCTTGATGATGGTTTTGACTTCAGCGATGCTGAGTTTGTTGAGCACCACGAGGGGTTTGGCTCCCTTGTTTAAACTCTCCACCAACGACACTCTCTCCAGCCGGACCAGGGGCTCGCTCTCGGTCAGTTTGCTCAGGAGTTGGGGGTCTTTCTCTTTCACATCGCGTTTCAATTTAGGGATCACAAAGTTCTTCAGAGTGGACTTGCCCCCCAGCAGGTAAGCGGGGAATTCGCTGGGTTTGGCCTCCACAGCCTGCTGCTTGTTTCCAGCTTGGCCAGTAACGACCCCCTCCCCACTTTTCCTCTCTTTCTTATTTTGGGAGTTTTGAGGGCCGGAACTCTCTTTCCTCTGTCGTCCATTGAGGTCAGCAGATTTTCTGCTACCGTCCTGCTTCACTCTCGGGCTCTCAGGTTTAGTATGCCCGTCAGGAGAGGGTCGGTTGCAGTTTTCCCTCGACATTTTGTGCTTCCTTTCCCTCTCTTTGTCCTTATCTCTCTCTTTGTCCTTATCTCTGTCCTTATCTCTCTCTTTGTCCTTAACTCTGTCCTTATCTCTCTCTTTGTCCTTATCTCTCTCTTTGTCTTTCTCTTTATTTATGTCCGTTTCTTTATTTTTGTCTTTGTCTCTGTCAGTTTCTTTGTTTTTGTCAGTTTCTTTATCTCTGTCTTTTTCCTTATCTCTATCTTTATCTCGCACCTTATCCTTTTCTCTTTCTTTATTTCTTTCTTTTTTTCGTTCTCTAACCTTATCCCTATCTCTCTCTTTTTCTTTATCGATATTTTTTTCCTTTTCGTTATCATTTTTATCTTTATCCCTATCTTTCTCCCTGACTTTGTCTTCTCCATGTTTGGAGTTACGCTCTGCCTTGCTCGGGGTCTTTGGAGTCTCAGGTTGGCCGACGTTGGATCGATGACTGTTGTGGTTCTTTTCCTCTTTGTGGCGTGGGTCTGAATGCTTGTCATGTTTCTGCCGCGGTGTGTCTGGCTGTTTGTCTGGCTGTTTGTCTGGCAGTTTGTCTGGCAGTTTGTCTGGCTGTTTGTCAGGCTGTTTGTCAGGCTGTTTGTCAGGCTGTTTGTCAGGCTGTTTGTCTGGCTGTTTGTCAGGCTGTTTGTCTGGCTGTTTGTCTGGCTGTTTGTCAGGCTGTTTGTCAGGCAGTTTGTCTGGCAGTTTGTCAGGCTGTTTGTCTGGCTGTTTGTCTGGCTGTTTGTCTGGCTGTTTGTCTGGCTGTTTGTCTGGCTGTTTGTCTGGCTGTTTGTCTGGCTGTTTGTCGACTTGTCCCTTGCCACTGACTGTTTTTTTATCGTCATGTCTGTGTTTGGAATCGCGTCGACTTTCCTGCTTCTGTTTGGGGGTTACAGGTTGCCCCTCTGAGCCAGACTTCCTGGGGCTGTCAGTATGCTGTTTGATGATCCCAGGTCTGTTTTCAACCACTTTATCTGCGTTTTCAACAACTTTCTCTGCGTTTTCAACAACTTTATCTGCAATTGCATCAGTCTTTGAATTGATGTGCAGTACGTGGTCGTCACACATCTTCTGTGCTTCCAAGACCACGACAGGCTGTCTTATCATTCTGCCAGCTTGCTGCAGATCAATACTGACCATCAAAGCAGGCCGACCGGCTCCGTTACTCGCAGTATTCGTCTTCTTGGGTGTCAACTTGCTGTCAGCGTTGCACACTTGCACGGCGGGCCCTTCATTGGACTCAGCTCCGGATTCCTGAGGATATGAGTCTTGCTTTCGTTTCTTCAGTGGCTTATCTGTGATAAAAAAAAAAAATGAAAATGAGATCTTCTACAAACAGATGTAGGTCATGGAAGAATCAGAAAGAACAGGGCAAAGGCGGACGAACATTACCTTTATCCTGAACTTCTTTAGACCACCTTTCTCTCTCGCTGGCCGACTCACGGTCTATTCTCTCGATCTCCGTTAGTGTGTCCATCTCAGCGTCATCAAACACGACCCCGCTGACGCCTCCGGACTCCTTAGTGATTGGCCGAACAGGAACCTGCTGACAGTTGGCCTGCTCCTCAGCACCTAACTTGTGTGACAAGTCATGCGCAGACCTTGACAACTGATTAATGTTATTATACATCAAATCAGTTTCACGGTCTGAGTCGACCCGTGACCTGGGAGGATGTTCTTCAGGTTCATCCAAGTCGGAGTACTTCATGCGGGACAGTTTTATAGTAAGCTTGGCGGACTGTTTAGAGGGAGAACTGACAATGTCGTACGAGAGATTTTTTTCCGTGTGCTCATTTTCTTCTCTACTCCTTTCCTTCTGCTTCTTTTTGCGGTCCCCGGAGCTGAGGAGCACGTCAGCTGCTGCACCTGGGGGCCCATCGGGGGGAGGAGACTGCATGATGAGGGGAGGCCTGGACCCTGGTTAAACACAAATGTATTTAAGGTTAAGCTAGCTAAGATTTTGTCATTTTTTTTTATTATTAAGAAGAAGAATTGATCATACTTTTTGCAGCCTCTTCACTCCCAGCAGGGGAACACACAGACTGTGGGGATTTCACTTGAAAGGCCCTCATGGAGGGGTCATTTACCTGTGGGAACACGAGACATTTAGCATCACGTTTATCAGTCAGCGTCTTCTAATTGTAGGTCAGGTAGTTTGATTCTATATTACCTCATTCCCCAGTCTGTGGGCCATGTGGATGTAGTCCTCATCTGAGCCTAGTCTCGCATTATGATTAGATGAAGTACCTGACAGCTGACCAGAGACCTTGTTGTCATGGATGGTTCGAACTGAAACAGAGAGCGAAAGAAAATCTCCAGGTTAATCATTTGTGACGTACAAATGGCTTATGTCTCCCTGGGATAGATGTTTTATATCCACGTTTATAGACAGTTGTAGTTTTACCCTGTTACAGAAAGAAAGTGTCAGCTTATCGACAGACCACAGGTTTCAACAAGTTAATTCACCACTTTCAAAACCTATTTAGACCTAATCTAATCACATTTTTAAAGATTTGTTTGTGTCATTTTGTCTCTGTCATTTTCCCTTTTTAGATATATGATAGATAGACTGGAAAGGGGGAGAAAGAGGGTCAGATGTTGAACTCAAGAGCAATGAGGGTTAGACCATTATATTCATATTTGAAGTAAATTCTGAGCGTCTTGGAAAACCCCAATTTTACTTCTTTGTGCCTGAATTTCAGATAATTGAATTTAAGAACCACAGAAACCATGGTTTAATAAATGTGAGAAGTGAAGTTACGGTATAAGCATTTTGACCACGACAAAAGAAGAAACACCATCTAGTTGGTGCAAGGCAAGTTTATTTATATAGCACCTTTCAACACAATAAGCAAGGCAATTCAAAGTGCTTTACAAAAATGAAAGATATTAAGGAAATGGCAGTGTAATTGTACAAGGGTTTTCCTTCAAAGAATAGTGGGTGGATTTTAAAAGGTATGTACTGGGGGAAAAATGTGTGATCACCACCTCAGAGCCACACCTTGACTAAGTACTATTTGTTCTGTAGTCTCTTACAGAACACTTCCTGTTTTAGGCAGAATGCTTGAGTATAAAATGAATAAATGTGGTAAATCAAAATGGGAATGCACAGTACTTTTCTTGTTGAATTGTTTCCACCTTGACTTGGAATACAAATAATTGTCCAAAATAAATAAAATAAATAACCGTTTTTCTATGTTGTTCATTCAAATCTAAATGTTTGCTTTTTGCTATCCATTGCAGAAGTGTGGCAGGTAGTTAATTACAATGTTCTTGATTTTATTGGTACTTACCTTGCTGGGTCTGTTGGTGTTGGGAATAACTGGGTGGATTGTACTGCATGTAGTCTGCAGGACTCTGGGGGGTGTAGGGACTGGGTATAGGGCTGTTCTGCTGGGGGACGAACCGAGCACCTGATCCAGACTGTGGCGATGCAAAACATCTGCAAAGGAGGAAGAAGTACTCTTGTTATAAATACAGATACTTCTACGTCTTCATCATCTGACTGTATGCCGGCTAGGCCTTACCCAGCTGGGCTCTGAGATTGCTGATAGTTTGATCCTGGACTCCCATGCACCTGGTTTTGAGAAATCTTAAACTGTTGCACCATTGGCTGTTGCATTACACCTACGAGATAGGGATTTAAAACAAAACGTTAGTTCAAACAATGAGCTGAACATGCACAATTCCACAGCAACAAAACTCGCCAATATACCTCAGGAATAGCAACTCAGTAATATAGGGTTACATATTTGATAACATAAACACTTCTTGAAACATGGCAGCTCAGATTTAACAACATCAAAAGTGAAATAACTAAACCAAACCTTATCTACTCTACACCAAACAATGTCATAACACCCCCATTATATGCAGCGTCATCAATTACTTTAGTTAAATCAAGATCAGTGCCAGGATAACACTAAAGCTTTAAAGATAGTAAAATATAGGATTTGTTGCAGTAATGGTTTGGGAAAACAATTACATGTATACACAGTCAACTGGTAAATCTGTGTACATTTGTAAAAAATAAAAAGTAATCAAGATTTCAGTCATACACAAGCTGTTTAGTTCACACTGTGCACACAGCTTTTCTGTATTTTTTCTCTTCAAATAATGATTTAGTATGAAAGTGGGCATGAAAACTATGTAATTATAATCAACCGTAATTGCAGTCTAGTGCAGCTGCTTATAAAACTAGAAGGCTTCCCTGAACAAAGGTTAAAAGAGAAATGTTCAACTATTTATGGCAATTAGTCATTTAATCTATGATGACAAAACAAACAGAGCTAAACCTTTAAGAGCTGTGTATGGGTTTATTAGTAAATATTTTTGTGTTGCTAAAAATGGTGTGACAAGTGCTATACTTAAACAACTATTACTTAAAATGTCTAATGAAATAACTTTATCTAACAAGCTGTTTTAACTATACTAAGTGGGACAGGATGAGGTGCTTTATTCCCAGAGGCCAAAAAAAGATTTCATCTCCGTCCATTACACATTTTTAAGAGTTAGTTCAGCCATAGAAATAAGAATTGTTCCTATTGTATGATAAAAACTTAATTTTCACGTTACATTTTTTCCTCTTGCAATACTTCTGCCCCTGTTGTTAGAAAATCACCAAAGTAGTGCATCTGACACAGGAAGTCCTTGTGTGTACCTAGCTGTAACTAGTTATATTAAAAAACAAGAGTACTGAGTAATGTAATGACTTGGCATACTTTTGTCCCCAAATATTTTGGGGTTCCTGGACAGCAGAGTTTGTAGAAGCGCTGGCATGTCACCCTCAGGTTCATCATTCCCCAAGTTGTCCTTCAACTCTCTGAAAAGCAAACAATAGTATAGCACACAGTCATATTGCAGGAAATAGCTGCACACTGGGCCTAAATGCAGTATTGAGTAATGCAATCTGATTCCTTCCAGTCTCAATTTACATTCCCTGTGCAAGTTAAACTAGTGATTTAACTAGTAAACAATTTTGTAAATCACACTTTTACAAACCTACTGTAGTGGCTACTGGCAAGCTTTTGTCTATTCAATTTAAATGATTAAAAGATGTTGTGAAACGTCAGTGATTGGCACTTACATGTGTTCAGTGGAGACCTGGTTGAGGCTATGGGCCAGCTGAGTCACCAGATTCTCGTCCCGGCACACCAGGAGGTTGCTGACCTCTTCGGAGATCCTTCCATTGTAGAGCAGACTCTTAGCGGTGGTGGCAGGGAGAGGAGAAGGCAAGGGCAGCTGGTTCAACACTAAAAGGATGATACACAGACTAGTTAGGTTCGTTGGAAATAAAAAGAAAGAAAGATGGGAAAGATATCAAAGAAAAAAGGTTTAGGAAAAGTATTAGTAGACCATGCAACTATTTGATAGTATTGCCAAATGACTATAATACACTTTAATTCTTTTTTTAAGAAAGTACATTTTGGGTATGCTTATTTAAGCTTGATATATTTAGGCTAAAATAAAAAGTAATGGATTTAATGTTGGGGTTTTAACATCTCTAATCCGTTTACTAAAGGCCTCAGAATACATATGGCTAAAACATTGTTTTAAGTTCTTTCTATCTTTGTAATCAAAAAGCCATCAATATATGGTAGCATTATATTGAAAGTTAATGAAAGAAATAAAGATCCATCAACCTCTACATTTAACAAGTTCGATTTTTACAATCTATTACAATCAAATATGAAAGGGCTATAATATCTTTGTCATCTGTATAATTGTTGCTTTACTATTTTTCTTAAATCAAACTTGTTTGAGGTCTGTAAGACTACAACTTCCCTTTTTTAGGAACATAAGCCACTTCACTCCTGTCTGCCCTGAAATCAGCAGTAGTGAAAACATCATAATTACCAGTATTTAGCTTCCAGTATAACTACACATTATACTAGAAGGCCTAGAAGACTTCACATAGTAACATTTCGGCAGTCAAGAATTCCTTAACCTGGCCATAACTTGGTTAAAATGTTAGTATTTAGGCTGTGTGGACAGCATTAGTGAGAGATGATGTTGCACTTACAGTCTGTCAGGCTAGCAATTCCAGCAAGAGTAGTGATGGGAACATGAGGCATATCACCATTCATGCTGAAGATGAGGTCAAGAGGTCGTGTCAATGCACAGGCTGCTCAATATCACCAATCTCTTTCTATTCCTCACATCTCCAAAGGCTGCGGAGACAAAACAAAAAAATGGCAACACACACTTTTACAGAATGTTCACTACCATGAAGGTATCGATGCCATTGCATCGATACCCTCCTATCATGAACACTGTTCATGATAGGAGTATGAGAATTAATATTTTCCCATATAGCTATAGTGTGCTTCTTTTAGGATGGGGATATAAAGATGTGTCAGCTTATGAGTGTGCATTATTAAACTGCCAACATAACTGCATCTCTGACGTAGACAGTTTATAGAAGCCTTATAGCAAGCCTGGGCATGCCTTACAAGTTATTGATTAAAGGCAGCTTCTTATGGCCAAACCATCTTGTCCCCTGCTGGTCATTCTTCCACTTTGCATACACAGCTTGAGTGTGTGTATTTTTTTTTACCTGTGATATTCCAACTTAAGTCAAACATTACATAACTGAAGAAACATACAATTAACAATATTAGCTCTCATACAGATGTCGTGCAATGCAGTGGTGACAAACATAGCTAGCTATCTGGTAGAATTAAGGATAAAAAAAGTTACAACGATTCTGTCTCACTCTTTCTGTCTCTAACGTAAAACGTCAGCTAGTCTGAGTTTTTATTTATTGACGTAAACATGAAGTCTACTAGCAAACGTATTTCAAAAAACCTCGTAGTTTAGGCTAAAATTATTTCTTTTGTTACAGTATCAGTTAAGGTTTCCGGGGCTGACCAAACACACAACAGCAACATTAGCTTATCTTATCCCCACATATGACGGTATTATTACTCATTTCTTATTTTCTTGGCATTGTAGACACTTGTTAAGAGAACTAGCATCATAGCTAAGTTTATTAAAGTGACTAAATCAACTCGGGGTTAGCCGATTAGCAGCGACTGGAGATGAGGTTAGCTAACGAATGCTAACTGGAAAGGTGCTGTAACTTGCTTAACGTTAAGCTAGCATCACCGGGAGTGCATCAAACCCGGTTAGCATACTCTGTATCGCTCTTTTCTTTACCGTGCAGGTCGTGTATGGGTTTAAATTTCCACCTCACACTTACTATGGCCTTCCCTGACGCATCTCTAGCTCACAAAGTGGACCTCGGACTTGCCTTAGGAAGCGTAACCCCGACCCGACGCCAGGGAGGCAGGGGTACAAAGCAAAGACCCCATCACAAATCAGATCGCCTTTAGCTGATCCCGGTAACGGTTACCAACGGCTGCCCGAGAGTGTCTGACAAACCGGAAACACTCGGGGAAGGTGAACGATTTCTCTGAATAGAGGTTGTTATTGTTGAATCTGGCTTATTTACCTCTGGATGTGATGAGAAAGAGAAGTGGTTCTGGTGGTGTAGGAGGAGGAGGGGGAGGGGGAGGAGCAGGAGTAGGATGGCAGCTGGAGAAGAGTCTCTAGCTCCCTCTCCGTCCCACCGTTCAAACAGCTCCTTCGGTTAACAGCTAACACAACGGCAGTGAACCCTGTCGGGAGGACCGGGGGCTTCTCTTCTCTCTCACGGTGAGCATGTCTGCTGGGAGCTGGGGAGCATCCTCTCAAATTCAGATGACTAGTTTATCAGACGCTGGGTGTTGTGTTTGCGAGTTTATTTTCGGGAATGAAAACAATCGAGGGACAGAGAAAAGGGGATCCACATTGTCTACCCCCTACCTCTCTCTCTCTCTTCCTCTCTTTCTCTGTCTCTCTTTCTCTCTCTCTCAAAATGCCGACCGGAAGAACCGGTAAAGGGAATAACTCCCTCAACCGGTGAGGAGCCATGTCAAATAATGAAATATCGTTATTGATGTGCCTTCCAGTCAGCAGCTATAACCCCATCATGATGTATACCTTCAACTCTGCCCAACTGACTTAAAAGTACAATAGTTGTGTACAAAAATGTACTATGTAATAATAATAATTCAAATGTGATATTATTATTGTATTAGTACTGCACTTTTCAACGTATTTTATAGACCACTCCTGCATGGTAGCAATTATAGACCTATTTTAGCATTATTATGTACACTGTGATATTGTCATATATGCACTATACCTATTTCTCATTCATATGTATCTATTAATTTCTCAATGCTTATATGTATATTATACAATGAGATGAACTATAACCTAACCCACTTTTCCCCCAGGGATCAATACAAGTATTTGTAATTCTGATTAAATTGTCTTTTTCAGGTTTAGTATCATATAATGTGCTATATGTGCAATATCTATATGCCGTTAATAACTGTGTAATATATACTTGGCTGCTAAATCCTAAGACCTGTTACAGGATGTGTATTTTGAAAATTATGTAACTTTTTATTTTTTATTATATTTTTTATTATATCATAACTTAGTACTTTTTTTTAATGCATGTAACATATGTAACATATGTAACATTAAGCTGTCTGTGGCTCTTTTTCCTGCTCTAACTACGCAAATGTCCTCTCCGTGGGACTAATAAATGTATTCTGATTCTGATTCTGATATTGGTGAAGTTTATATCTGACGCTTTAAAGCTTTGGCCAGCACGACTAAATGTCCTTTGCCAAATTATACTGCGCCAACTGGGGGAACGTGTCATTATATGTTATTTTCTGGTCAGATGCTGTTCACTTTTAAAATTGTTGCCTGTAATTTCTAATGAGAAGTGAAGTATGTAGGCTTATCATCACAACACACATCAGCTGACTGCTGCCCACAAAACAACTGACCAAGCATTACACAAAGCTGCTAAAGTTAGGCTTTCTTGCATCTATCCAAACTGTTCAGGGATGTAGAGGTATAGCACAAAGGGAATCAGCTGGAAATATTCATAAATGTATTCTATCTAGTAGGCCAACATGTAGGCCTACTTGATAAGCATTGAAATAGTAATTACAGCTTGAGACAAAACTGACTGAATTTTATAAGCAGGTTTTGGTCTCCCTCTTGTGGGGATAATTGTAAATTATTTTGCACAGTCAACCAAATTGTTCTACCTTCCAGTTAACCCTTTTCAGACTGTCACACTTTCCATTTTGATAATCTGATGAACAAATCTTTGCAGTTAATGTGTGATGATGTAAACAAATAAACAAACAATCTTAAAAAAAAAAGTGTTTTGTTTAATTGAAGATTATCCACTGTAAGAACAAATATTTATACTCTGAATTTTAATCTGGATTAAGTTTTATTCAAGATCAATAGGGTGATTAATTGAAAAATAATACTTTGCGTCTTCTTTTATTTGTTATTAAAGAGCGTAATGGACCATTTGACTCTTATCTGAGACTATTAAGGATGCCTTCAGGGCTTGTGCTATAGCATGTGCTATAGCATGTGCTATAGCTCTTACAGTCTTACAATCATAAAAATCATTCTTTCCTCCTATGAAATTGGTTGGCAGAGTTCATTTCTTTGCACCAATCAGTTTAAAAACACATTTGGTATTTATTCTGTATCAACCTGTTTGTTCACAACAAAGACACAACCCTGAGCTCCCATCTTTCTTAAAAGATTACTTTTATGTTAATTTGATTTAAATACCACAAAACTGCTCCATATAGGAAAATCCTTGTAGTTTGTTGACTGGTGACCCTAGCGATACATCCATGAAAACATTTAACCACATTTAAAAAGCAACAGCAATGTTGATGAGAAGTTTTGGTCTTATTTGTAAATTAGTGACACCCGTCTAGACACATCTTGTGGTTTCACATGTTACACACATTATTAGTAATGTCCTCAGTTATAATATGAAGGCTTGGTGAGGTTTATAAAATATATCTTTATGAAGATGAGATGACACATTTGAAATGGTAGGGACATTTAACTGGAGCTATTGTTTAGTGTTGTGTCACTTTAGTTTTGAAAGTCTAAAATCTCACAATCCATAATATTGGACATTTTGGAAAGAAAATATCTGAAATATTCATAGAGTTTGATACAACCATAATATTTCCAAGGCACCTTTAGCATGCTATCCCCGACCAATTTTGTAATCTATTATTTACAGAGTAGCTATACATTGACTGTAACTCATGGATTAGGGTATGTGGGAACAACAATAGCACACACACAGACACCCTCATATGAAAAGCCAGCAGCTGACGCCTGTAGTTCCACGTGTGGATAATAATGTTGCGTTCAGGACCGCGGGGTTTCACGGTAATTACTCTGCTTCAATGGGTTTATCCATGAGCCTCTATCCCGTGACGGTCATGAGGGTGTTCTGCCCCTCTCTGTTCTCCGGCAAACCCGAGGCGAGATATTTGAGGAGGGAAGAAACACAGAGCTAAGGAACAGGTCATTTTGAGAAGGCATCCCGACCAACGAGAGGAGCTGCTCCCTGAAATCGAATTATCCAATTTGGTAAGATGATGGTGCGTTTGTTTGTTTCTCTAGCAGAGTAGTATTGTGCAAATATGCTTTTAATGAATATTACAACCCACATAGGTATGACCTGAATTAGTAGGGGATAAATACATTGGATGCTGCCTTACACTTTCTGAAATTAATTCTGAATAAACTATAACATTTATTCCTTCTAAAACAAGTGATGCTGTCACCCAACAGAATAACAGTGACACTTCGTGCTATCAAGAGATCCACGTTGCATAATCGATAGATTTCCGATTGGTTTACCATATTAAAACTTGTTGATTCGTATGTAAGCTTTTATTTACAGCCTTTAAGTTACATATTTTATGCAGCCTAAGTTGAGTTGTGAAACACGTCACATTTAGATGTGAATTTTCGTTATTCGCTAAAGAAAAATCATGTTTTCACTTTTTTGTTTAAAGCATTAGAGTCCGGGCAGTGGCGTGAGGAAAGCAGTCACAGATCATATTTTCCTAATACAGAATGCTTGAGGATATATGAGATCCTTCAAAGTTTTGGGGTAAAATAGTTAATATGACAGGCAAAAGCGACCTTGGGTCCAGTGAAAGGCGCTTTATAAATTCCATTTATTATTATTATTATTATTAAAATGTTCACAGTATTTCCTATTGCTACATCTTAATGAGAAGAAAATGGTAATATGGTAAAGGCAACAAATAAACAATGCCCAGTTTCATGGTAAATGAAAGTGTGTCTAGACGATACATTATGCAACCTGGTGATAAAATAATGTGTTGGACAAATGAATTTTAATTGTTCATTACAGCAGACTTAACATGATAGTCTAGCATTAATTGTTATTATAAAGACACTTTTTAAAAACGTTGTGTACATAATGTCTTATTAAACTGTAAAGTATTAGTCCATACTTGGTTAGTTTATGAAGGAATTTCTGTTGATTTTCAGATTAATGCCGCGTAATTGTTCAGACGGAATGCCTCGTGGAGACTTCAACATTTATTTTTCCAGCAGCAGGGGAGGATTTGTCAGAGCTGAGGAGTATGTGTAACTTCTTTTTTTTAATCAGAAAATAATGCCTGTGTTCCATGGAGCTTTTTTGCATTATGATCTTCCTCTTCTTCTATTGTTACATTGTGGTGAATATAATAAAACTGATATGACAATATAATAGATAAATCCATTAACTGAAAATGTCTGTTTGAATTTGGTTGTGAAAAACAGGGCACTGGGTATAGTTCTGCTGGTGGTCATCCTGGCAGCTCTCCTCATCATGGGCTGCTGGTACTTCAAGAAGAGGAGTGGCTACAAAATAATCAGGGTGAGACCATTTGTGAAATACCAGTCTTTGCACTTCATACCTCTTTCAAACATCCATGTTCCTTTTTTGCATATCTTTCCACATCTTTCCACTCTGCTTTACTGTATTTCCCCCCACTATATCACACCTTCCTAATTTTTTTGATCTGTTTTCATAACTTTCATAAATCTTTCTCTTGCCTGCAGAGCCCTAGATCGGGGTCTCCACGTCAGACAGAAGTCCATTTCTCAGAGGCAGGAACTTCAGCAGATAACAAGATGGCTCTCACTGATTTCGGCAGCTTCAAATCAGCGGTGAGGCATAGGAAGTTACCCCATCACTGAATTTCCTGTATCACAGTACCTAAATCAAGAATTTGCAAACACAGGAAACTGGCAACACAGTCAACAATTGGATACATAGAATTACATTTGCCTATATTACTTATAGCTATAATCTTTTAAATCAACAGTTCCTATTCCTTAACTCTGTATACAGTCCTTGACACAGGCTACTTGTTTAGTACAAAAGTGTAAAACACGTGAAGCTGACGTAATGAATGCCTTTAGGGGGGATTATTGTGTCACCAGACCAGGGGTAGGTCTTACAAATGTTTAATTCCCGAGGGAGGTATGTGTATCCATGGGAAAAGTGAAGGGGGTGGGGGGCAGATCAGCACCCTCACATGTGAGATGAAGTTGGAAAAACACAATGTCCTTCAATGCTGCAGAAGTCACTAGTTCTAAGAGTAATCATACTGAAATATCTAATGTGATACAAAGCCCAAGGTTGTTTTAACAAACAGTGCTGAATTCCATGTGTGTAGATAAATCCTTAAATACAAAGGCCACATGGGTTTGAATATTCAATATCCTTAAAAACTTAATAGAGATTCAATGAAATATATTACCTTGACTGTGTTTGGAAACTTTGTTTACAGCCATTTTATCCAGATGCATTTGTTCCAATCTATTTCAGCTTCCTAATGCTCCTCCAGCCTACGAAAAGATGTCTACAGGGCCAATGCCCCCTCCCTATTCCCCCTAAAAGGACTTCTAGAAGATGGAAAGATGTCTGAAGAAGAAACGAAAATACTGGACAACAAACTCTAAACTTCATCCGTAGTCTGATAGTATGTCATTTTATGTCACTCGAGTGCCTTATACCTTGTAGCTTAATGTACCATTATGTGAAACTATCCTATTCCTCACTTTGTACAATTATTCCCATGAACAAACACAATGTACTGTATATACTGTAGGTTGATTCAATAAATAAAGGATTCCACAAGTCTGTCTATAATGAAGCAGCTCAAACACACTTGCTGGGGACAGTTGCATTGTTTATTCCCATGCAGAAATGTCCACATTTGTTCAATGAAACTGTACCTAGTAAATATTTGTTGAAAAATCTATATGGTAAAAATAAATAACTGTGAATTTAAAACATTGTATATGGGGTGCAACATGTAGTACAAATGTATCTATTAGTTTATTTATATTTCTAAATTGTAGTTGAAAAGAGAACCACATGACAATCTGGATTTGAACAATCCGTATTGTAAAACAGACATAAAGTAAAGCCAAGTTGTACCGGTGAATAGTATCCTATTATTCATTATTGAAGCAGTATGTTATGGCATTGAAAAGTATTACAAATACCGGAGTTGAACTTCATTGCATCTACCTTGCCATTCTACTGCTCTTTTATAACAGGCGTCATTACTGGCCATAAAGTTAAGAAAAAGGAAAGTCTCCAACATTCATCTTAGGGCAACCTCCGCATTTTTCACTTGATGAAAACCATCACAGTACACATGTTCAGTATGTCTGAGCATACCGTTTACCTATAAGATGATCTAACCGGAGGGTATAACCTACTACATTCTAAATGTAAGTCAAACTACAGCTGGACAGCAGTTTTTAACTAACTCTACAAGATGATATGAGTCCTGGAAAAACTAGGCATCTGAAAGGTGGCATCTGAGTCTTCACATGGATGTCAAAGTCTGAGATTATCGGTTCACTTTGTCTGTGTGTGAAGGTTGTAAAGAGGAATCATGTGTGTGTCGAGCTCCACTGGAATTGTTGGGGGAAACCAGCAGTGCATCCAGCGGTATGGGGCAGGCAGTCAGCTCAACTGGATTGACCCGGCACTGAACTGTGTTCAAAACAGCACCATCCGGACTAATGAGTAGCTTGGATGCTACACTGGTATGCAGAGAGTGCTTTTCAAGTGCTTGATTGGTCGAAACGAAAGGTGGTAGGATGGTGTTTGTCTTCAGTGATGTGATTGGTTGCGATGAAGTGCTTACTACAGTGCTGCTGGAGGAGAGCGCTGTGACCACAGGCGCTGTTTCACAGGTGTTGAGAGTGCTTCCGTTGGGTGAAACTGTAGCAATGGGCAGCATCTACATCCTAGACACTGCAGTTACAATTGGCGGGACAGCCACTGTGGGCAGTACCTGTGTCCGTGTGCCAGCAAGAACTGGATGCATGACTGCAGGCGCCATGTTTTTGACTGCTATGTTGCCTAGTCCCATGTGCAGCAAAGCCTGTGATGGAGCTGTGGAGTAGGCTGCAATTCCAACTGCTGTCTGCAGGGGCTGTGTGCCTGGGCCCGGTGTTGTTGCTGAAACCACCTGCTGAGCAGGAAGAGAAGAACGCAAAGCTGGGGCGCCTGCTGAGGAGAGGGGCAGTGTGACAGGGCTGGGCCGGGCAACAGCTGAAGCGCTTGATAAAACAGGCAATGATGATAGAGGTGCAAACAATCTTGACAAGGGGGATGCTACTGCAGGTGAAATGGTAGAACATTCAGCTGGTGTAGGGGTGCCAGCAGCTAACCTGAAGGTAGTGAGTGCTGAGCTGAGAGCAGGGGCACTGGTTACCACTGGGGAAACTAGAGCTGGTACACTGCCAAACCTAGGTGGTGATGACATAAGAGAGGGTGTGCCTCCAGGTGGAGAAGCAAAGTTACAGACCTGTGCAGCTGGCAGCCTCGGCAGAGCAGACACTACGTTTGTTTTACAGGGTAACCACGTGGAGCCCGGACATGGCGGGACATTGGAAGTATTTGCCAGCAACGATGGACCAACAGCAGGTGTGCATGCTACAAAAGGAGAACTCGCGGCTGGCACACCAGGCAGCCTGGCGGGGCATTGGAGTAAACTTGGTGCTCGAGGGGCTACAGTGACATGACTTGCCACTTGGGCAGGACCTGATGCTCCAGTGCTGGCGGCACTGGCAGTAGGCACTTTTTGCGGTGCAGGGTTAGAGATGATGAGGACATGGCTGCCTGGGCCCAAACCCTGGGGAGGGACTACAAAACGTGCATTGTTGAGGAGGATCTGTGTACCGGCAGCAAGGGGCTTAGAGGTGTTGATGACTATGCGCTGCTGGATTGTGCCAGGAGTGGAGGTGGTGATATTGGTGGTTGATGATGAGGGGATGGTTGTTTGGGGAGGTGAGAAGGAAGTGATTTCTTGACCAATGCCACTTTGGATATTTGAATGCTGATGAACAAGCGTGGATGTGGAGGTTTGAGCTAGGTTACTCTGCACGGCAGTAGTTACCTGAGCAGTTGAGTTGCTGAACAAGCGACCTGCTGGCATACCACCGGCCTTCTTGTTGATGTTTCCTGCAGGCAGAATGGTAGAAGTAGATGTAGATGTGGAAGAGAATGGTTGGGAGATCATGTTGAAGGATGAAATACCCTTAGAGCTCGGGGTCTGAGACGCCTGAGAGGCAAGCTGAGCAGAACTTGTGATGGTATTTGAACTTGTAACTGGGACCAGACCAGTGGTGGTGGCTGATGGACGGGTTGTTTCTGATGTGCTCTTAGTAGGAGAGCGCGACAGGGCACCTATGGTCTGTCCAATGGTTGTCGTCTTCCCTGACAACTGGATTTGAACACCTGGAGACACACAAGAGATATTTGTTTGAGTAGCTCAACACTGACAATTGGGCTAAATGTATGGCATTAGTCTTACCAAATTTACAAAATAAGGTTTTACATTCCTCCAACTGCTATTTGATTTCTATATGTTTAAATAGAAAATGTCCCATTCTTGCAGCATTTTCTAGGGCTGAAACTAACCATTTCTTACAATATATTTTCAAAATAATAATAATATATAATAATTGTAAAAACTACGTAATTATTTTTGTCTTGAAATGACTTGTTTGGTTCGACCTAAAAGAGGTTTTAATCAGAAAATGTATATTCGTTTTAACATTTGTAAGATATGTTGCCAATATCTTCTTCTGTTGACTAATTGTGTCAGCTTAAAAATGTACTGACTGAATCCAAAAATAAATAGAGCAGACATGAGAATAACAGTTCATCAACTCAGACCAACCCACCTGAGGGCAGAGTGATGTTCTTGAAAGCTTCCGAGTTGACCGCAAGTTGGCCTGTGCTCGATGCCATCTGTAGAGTCTGACCTGATAATGAAGTGCTCAGCAGCTGTCCACTCGCCCCTGGCGCTATTGTCGGCTTTGGAAAGCTTCCCATAGAGGTTGTGGATGATGTCGCTGTGGGTTGGCTGATGAACATGACTCTTGAACCAGGAAGTGATTTGGTGAAAGAGGGTTTACCTTTTGATAAGGCTGAATTAGAGGAAGAAGAGGGAGTAACTAGAATGAATTTAGTAACCTGGGATCTCTCCTCTGTACTGGCCCTCTTCAAACCCGTCTTGTTGAACTCGGCTTGTGTGAGAACTTGGGGAACACCAGAATTACTCAATGATGAGACAGCAACTGTGTTTTTTCCTAATGAAGCTTGAAAATGAGAACCAAGAGCGGGTGTCTTTGCTGAATTCGTCAAACCAACTGATGTGTTGGGGCCTTGATTTCCTGTAACCGTGGTGCTTGCTGTATGGCTTCCTGGACGTGTAACAGGAATGCCACCAGTGAATGCAGGAACCTGCTCCTGATTTGGGGCCACTGGTATATTTGTCAACGCTGGGACGGTGCAAGGGGAAGTCTGAGATTGTGCAGAATGAGCCTGTAACGTCTTGGATATGAGGAAGGCTTTAAACTGGGGTGAGATGGTGATGACTGGACTGTTGGTCAACGAACCAAGAGCATTCTGGTCTGAGGAGGTCTGGACCCTGACGATGCCTGTGTTGCCTCCTCTAGTTGTAACCAGGATGGACTGCGAGTCACGGATACATACAGTCTTAAGCTCCTGTTTAGGGTATGTGTGTTTATCAGGGTCAGTAGAAACTGCACCAGAAGGAGTGGGGATCGGTGAGGGGTTTGGCATGACACTTTGTGGTTTGCTAGCTTGGGGACTGCAAAACGGTATCCCCTTGAGCCTTGCTGTGTTTAGATGAGGAGAAGGAGAAGGTGAAGGTGTCCTGGCAAATTTTAAGGGAGCCACTTGCTGAACAGGGATTTTGTTTTCGGGAATAGTGAACCCAGGCACATTGGTAGACATACAGAAGGGGCTGGCCACTTTAGAAAGTGGGACCTGAACGCCCTTTGAAAACACATTTTCTTCAGTGTTGTTAATGAGAAGCTTAGAAGGCAGAATCACCAATTGCTGCATGATCTTCTCCCCAGTGTTCTGGTCCACGACAGGATGAACAGAGATCTTGACTGGGCTCTCCTTCCTCACAAGGTGACCCAGCCTGTCAGGTACTGTGTACACAACTTGGACAGGATTCTTTTGTACAGTCTGTGCTGGTTTCCCCTGTTGTGTTTTAGGAAGAGCTGCCATTACTGTAGCCAATCCTGGCTGTCTTAGTACTTCTGTTTGTTTAAGTCCTTGAATCTGTATTTGTCGCAAACTGGATGGAGAACATTGTGCTTTTGAAAGTTGTGTAGTCAAATCAGCAGGCCGTTTCATTAAGGTCACTTTGTTTCCCACACTCTTAGCCAGCAGGGTGGGGATGGGCGTGTAGCCCTTAGGTAGTCCCGTGGTGGGATGGAGGATGGGGGTTCTGGGTAATAGTGGAGCCTGGGTTGAGATGGAATCCTTGGATTGATTTGATGATCTCAGGTCGAATCGAGAATGTTTCCCAGATTCAGGGGTTGAATGATTGATACTGCTGCCAGCCTGACTTCTTGTCAGTGGACTGATGTGTTTCTCTGTGCTGGAAAGGGATGGTTTTAGGTGGTTGGGGGGCAAGTAGGTCATCATTCTTTCT